GGCTCTGGCTGCGGTGCGTGGGCTGAGCTGCAGTTTGTACCAGTGTGCTCGGCCCCTGGGCTGCGTTCCTTGGCTGGACGTTCGCTTGCAAGTGTCTGCCGCGGTGGGGTAGAGCCGTCCAGTTCTTAGTGAGTCCAGAGGCCCCATCTGTCCCCTCTGGCAGCCCCTGCAAAGGCCAGGAATGAATGACCTCTGGAGCCTGAGGCCCCCTTGTGCCCACAGCACCTGAGCATGGCAGTGATGGGGGCTTTGGAAGGACCTGCAGTGGGGTTCTTCAGAACAGGGTTGAGAGGCATCAGTGGGAGGCTGCGGCAGGTTTGCGTCACTGCTGTCTGCTGGACAGGTCCTGTGGGCCAGCGAGGGCCCAGGCTCCTTTCACAGCAAGGATTCTCCCGCTAAGACTTCCCTGGGGTAGGAGTCTCTCTCCCCTGCTGAGCCCGAAGGACTCTTACACTAATGTAGTTGTTCTTGGTGATCATCCCCCGGGAGTGTCTTCGGCTGGATCTAGATAGTCACTTTTGGGGGGCATTTCACTTCAAGCCCTCGTGTTAAAGGGGACAGGTCTCCCAGTCAGAGCACAGAACTGGGAGCCAGGCCTCCTGGGGTCTGTTCCTGGCTCTCTGACCCACCCGGTGCCCTGCTTCACCTCTTCCCCATTGGTAAACAGGGGTGACGGGTGGTGTTGTGGGGGCTAGTCTGGGTCTATCAAGTGCGAGACAAGTTGTCATTTGGCTCAAAGGGGGAGGAGGGGCAGCAGCAGGACTGCAGGAAAACAGGCCCTGTGGCTTTCCGGATGGAGTAACCCAGCCTCTTCCAGGCTGAGAAGCTGGCTCTCCTTAGTAGTTGTCCGAACGATGTTGTTTTGAGTAGGTGCACGAGTTTCTCCAAGCTTCGGCTTGAAGCCGGTGGCGTAGCACTTCTGCAGCGCAATGGAGATGCCCCGTGGAGGAGCAGCTCTCCGGCAGTGGGCTCAGACTGTCTGGTATCCTCACGGTGACCATGGTTTTGAGGGTCAGAGCGTCGCTGAGCACTGAGAACTAGTCAGGCCTGTACTTTGATGGAGTTGCAGGTTAGCGCCTGCTCTCGTAGCCGAGTGAGGTGGGCACGAACAGCCTGGCTTCTCTCTGAGAGACGACTCCAGACTCGGTGCTCAGACGAAGGGGCAACTGAATAACAAGGTGACAGTGCTGCTGGCTCAGTCAGGATCTCCCCAGAGGTCCCGTGGGCCTGCCCTGCTCTAATCCACCCCCTGCCGAAGTGAACCCCTCGAGAGTCGGCTCAATGCAATCCATGAATCAGGCGGCTCTTGGAGACATGCTGGGTGCAACATCGTGACGTGGGCTTGCTGAGCCATCGGGGAACGGTTTCCAGTTGAGGCCGGGCATTGACTGCCCACGTCCTGTGCAATCCCAGCTCCAGTAAAGAGGAGGCCGGAACCGATCTGCGCCTTTGTTTCTGCATTCTTGGCTGGTCAGCGAAGTGCCAGAGAACCCACTGGGAATGCGCCAGGGCTCGCAGCCTGCAGTGACCCTCGCACCTGTGCCGTGCAGTCTGGGAGCCGGCACACAATGGAACCAGTGTCTGTCACCTGGCATGTTTTGTCAATAAACCCAGGGCCCAATATGTTCTGAGCCAGTGAGAAGGTGCTGTAGGAACCTGCTTTGGGTTTGGCCTTGTGCTAGTCAGTGGCAGCTGAGACTGGCTGGGCCTGGTGGCTGGGCCCTGGTCTGTGGAGCAGGAACTGCAGAACCCAAAACAGTAAACAGCCCCAGTGCAGACACGTCTGCCCTGGCGGAGACACTCAGGCCTCTGGGCACACGCGGGGGTGGGGAGAAGGGAAAGGGGCCCATGCGATGCGATGCCCCTTTGCAGGCCGTTCCTTGGGTGCCGTGCAGCTGTGCAGCTTGCTCAATTGGCCAGGGTGACTCGTTCCTTCCTCCTTTCGTGGCGGGGCTGCTGGGAACAGTTTTGCTTCCTCTCTTGGGTTCCTCACCCTGTGGCCACTGCAGCCGGAGCCTGGGGTGTTGAGTAACCTCCCCCAGGTTGCGCTGGGCCCCCACTTGGCATATTGTAGTCAGGCTGGCTGTAACTGACCGGTGTGTGGTGACCCCAGTCTTTCAGCCCCTAGCGTGGGGGAGAACACGAGCCACTGAGGCCCTGTGGCTATTGTGGGGGGTGTCTCCCATGGGCCCAGGATAGGTCCCTGGAGAGGCCTGCACTTTGTCCCAGATCACAGGCTGGGGACAGAGTTCTTACCAGCCAGTGGGGGCAGGAGTGGGCAGGGCCGGGGTGGTGGGTCCTGGGCATCGCAGAGAGAAGCGAGACCCAGCAGGCTGGAGTAATCTCCCGGCAGGCTGGTCTGGAGCAGGGCAGGGCTGGGCTAGACACCTCCCTTGCCCACCTTCCCGGCCCCAGCCCTTGCTGGCCAGAGGCTGGGAGGCAGGCAGGGTGTAGTGGACTCTGAGCTGCTTTTAATGCAATTTGAGCACTGTCCGGTGAGGAGCCAGCACCACGTGAGCTGCCAGCTCCCTGCTAACCCCAGTGATTCAGGGGCTAGAGCAGGGGGTCCCTGGGGGACTGGCTGTCCGGCAGTGGTCGAACGGCCAGGCCGGGCCTGACTCCCCTGCATGCAGCCAGGACTGTCCCCTCAGCTGGAGCATTGACACTGCCCAGAGCAAGCGTCCCAGCCAGCCTGGTGGGTTAACTCTGGGCGAGTCCCTCCGGCTAGAGGCTGGCCACAGATGTGAGGGGCCAGGGCAGCCAGCCACCTTCCCTCAGGGCTTGTGGTTCCAATAGTCCCCCTAAGGCATCTGGGAGGGGCCTGGGTGTCGTCCTCCACGCAGGCCACCCTGTGTGTTCTGACCCACGTGAGGTGGCTGAGTTAGCTGCCAGGTGACTCTCCTCGAAGGTCTGCTCAGGGCACTGAGCGCTCGGTGCTTTAGAGACTGCCAGGACGCCAGCTCCCTCCCCCAAGGAGCCTGTGAGCGCCCGGCCTGCGAGATGCCGGGCTGGCCTGCGTGCGGGGTGAGCGCTGGCTTGGTGGCAGCAATACAGCCCTCGTACCAAATCAGTGCCCGCACTAGGGGCTGGCACCGGCCGGACTGCACTGATCCCTCGACAGCTAGTTCAATCGGCGCAGCTTGTTGGTGGACCAGGCCTAACCTGGGCTCGGCAGCGCATAGGTGGCTGGTGAGCAGGGGGAGAGGAGCTGGGCTGATGTGAACCTGCTGATCCATCCACTCCCTGCTGGGGCTGTGTTTATGGCAGTGACTATGGGGCGCAGGCCCGTGGTGAGCCTGTGAATTCTGCGGGGGCCGGCGAAGCCATGGATTCTGGCCTTGGCGTACGAGGGAAGGTATTTGATGTTTTGGAGGTGACTTGCCACCCTCTCTTCCTCCGTGTTCCCTTCTAACCCTGCTTTGCTGAAGGTGTGATTGACATGCTGCATACACCATGCAGCCATCCAGCCTTCGCTCTGTTACCCGCCCCATGTATCTGGTGTGATGCCAGGACTGGAACGGCTGCCTTCAGTTATCTGCTCCTTGGAGCAGGGGCGTGGCCTCCTCTGTGCCTGGGATGCAGCCTGTACGGTTCTGGGGCTGTATAAATAATGCATGTCTTCTCCATTCTGCAGCTCGATTTTCCAGCCTGCGCTTCCTAGTGCCCCTTGGGAAGCGCGGAGGAGATGTGCTGTTAGTGAGGGGAGACTTCTCACAACCAGTGGCCAAGGAAGGGCTGGAAACCGTTCTGAGTCAGATGTTCCCGCACTGGAGGGGGGGTTAAGTGCATGTGAATTTCAAACTCTGTAAAGGAGGGAGCTGGGCCCTGCTGCTGGCCCTTCATTGTGCTTGTTTGAGGCCTGGGTTCTCGGCTGGGACCTGACAGATGAGTTGTTGGCCTTTTCCTCCTGCAGGCAGAAATTGGTTACTGCTTTAGTCTCTGCGCAGCACGCTGTGTTTCTAAGGGTATGTCTACACTACAGGATTAATCCGAATTTAGATAATTCGAATTTGGGAAACAGGTTGTATAAATTCGATTGTGCGCGGCCACACTAAGCACCTTAATTCGGTTTTTAACCACATTAATTCGGTGGTGTGCGGCCACACTACCCCATTAACTTAAACACAGTAATTCGGTGGTGTGCGGCCACACTAACCCTAATTCGAATTAACAAAATCGATTTAGGCTCTACTCCGTTCGTTGAGGTGGAGTACAGAAATCGATTTAAAGGGCCCTTTAATTCGAATTAACTGGCTCTGTAGTGTGGACGGGTGAAGGGTTAATTCGGATTAACGCTGCTAAATCCGAATTAATCCCGTAGTGTAGACCAGGCCAGAGCCTCTCCTGCTCTGGGCACCGGTCAAGCTGGCCCCGACTGGGGAGCGTTTGGACTCCCTGGCGGAGTGCTCAGTACTCATGGCTTCAGAGCTACTTATCTTCAAAACGCAGCGTTTGTACCTGTGGGGTGAGGCGTCCCCCTCCCTGGCCAGCCATAGAACTCTGCGCCGCTTCCGCTGTGGTATCAAGCTTCTGGCCCCGATGCGGCATCACCAGTGCCTGCCACTGCTCAGTGGGTGCAGAGGGAGATTGGCGTGGCACTGGGCAGTTCCCTGCTGCTACGGGGAGACCTGGGGGCAGTCAGGAAACTGACTCAAGGCTTGTTAATTTCTTGCTGCTATTGCTTGGGCAGGCTCTGAGCAGCAACTGGCCTTGAATCTGAGTGGTGGCTGGTCTCTCCCCTATCCCCTCTGGCTGGCTGGGGAGTGGGACGCTTTCAGGTCCTGGTTTGGGGGTCGGGGGAGTTAAGCTATTTATTTAGGAAGTTTTACGAGTCCCTGCCATGTAAACCTCAGAAACCAACCAATCATCCTCACAACAGTGTGAGTTTGTTTAAAGAGACCGTGTAAAGGATTTAGTCACCAGCTCTCGGTGGTGTCGCCATGTTGGTGAGTTTCGGTGCAATGCCTGCGCCACGTGGGTTCTGGTGATTGTATGACAGCTGATTGCAAGCGCTTAACAGGGGAGCAGGCCCCGCGCTGTGTGGTTTCCATGGGGAGGGGTTTCTAGGCCTAGTGTCTCTAGCAGGGCTTGTGCCTGGCAGCTGCTGTGAGTGCGAGGGAGCGCCGTAGTCTGGAAATCAGGAGATTAATTCTGGGGGGAAGAGGCCAAGTGCTGGGGCACCAGAAATACCTTTACAAGCAAGACTGTCCTGGGAAGGAGGGGGCTGAGTCCCCTCTGCCAGCCACTGAAATGGGAGAAATGGCCGCAGGCTAGCGGGGAGCCAGTTTCAGTTAGACCCCCCTTCCCCTTTACGCTGGGCACTGGGGCGCTGCTGGGGGTGCCCAGGGATGTGCTGAGCAGGGTGTGGGGGCCTTTCCTAGCCCGCCTGCCTAAGCTGGGCACCTTGCAGCTCTCGGCATCACCGTAATGGGCTGCTAGTGGGGGCGAGTCTCACGCCCACCAGAGTGTGGCCTGCTGCCCCAGCATGTCCCCTGCAGCTCCCTCCCCAGTCCCCACAGTGCTGGGCCCCCTGTGCTGTTGGAGCCAGGGAAGAGGTGTTTTTCAGGAGTCATGGAAGAGAACAAGCCATGGGTTGGAAGGTGAGGTGATGGGCAGCCTCCGCAGCTCCTGCAGGGCCCGGATCTCTGCCAGGGCGAGGGCCAATGTCCCAAGCTAACGGCCCAGGGAGCCCCGCAGGGTCGTACCCACCTGTGGACTGGAGGGGCAGGGGTGCAGCACACCTGTGTGCATGGCTGGGCGAAGTGACGCTGTGGCCAAGAGCACCAGAGACACTCTGCCCTTGGCGTCGGATCCCCCACCTGTTGGTGCCTCACCGCAGGGGACTGTAAGTCCACAGCCAGCTACACGTCCTCACGGGAACACAATCCTCCTAGAATCCACTCCTAGGCCAGCAGGGGCTCGGCCAACCCTGGGATCCTCCTCAGCAAAGGGGCCGGTGGGTGCGCTGGTGCTGGCACATGCTCCTCCATCCTGCTCAGGCTGCTCCGGCTCACTTCTGGGTTTGGGGGCAGTATGGCCTAGTGCAGTGATTGTCAACCCGCGGGCCACGTGCGGCCCAATCAGCTCTCAGCTGCGCCCATGTGACACCCTCAAGGCCATACAGGTAGTGTCTATATGGTGTGGATGGGGCCCACATAACACAGAGAGCTGCATATGCGGCCCACAGTGGTAACTAGGTTGGGCACAGTGGTCTAGTGGTTAGAGCACGGCTCTGGGCACCAGGAAGGGCAGAGTTCTAGTCCCGGTCGCTGCTCGGCCCCTGCTCCGTATCCTGCCAGCACCGCTGCTGTGGCAGCCTCAGCCAGCACCTGCCAGCGCTCCCAAGCCAGCAGCCGTTCCCCCGCAGGGCTCTCAGACCCAGTGCCCCAGGAGCGGGCAGCCCAGACCCATCCCGGATTGCTGTGCCCAGCCGGGTGCAGACTGTCCGCCCCGTGACTTGTGCTGGCGCTGACTCATGGGTGTGGTCGCAGGCTCAGGGTGACGGGGCAGCACGTGAGGATCAGTAAAGGAGCCCGGGCTCTGCACTGCGGAAGGAATGAGCCAGCCATGCCAAGTGCTCACGCGCACTCCCTGAGGGGCAGGGCGCTGGGGGAGCCGGGCAGACCCCACTGGGCCCCGAGGGCTGCCTTGCCCTGGCTGGCGAGCGACCTCATCTGTACCTTCAGGGCCAGATTGGCGCCCGCGGCCCAGCTGGAATGGGGTGGTTGTCTCTCACTGCTGACCCTGCTTTGTGGGTGGAGGAGGGGCCAGATACCACGGTGATGGGCGCAGTAGCAGCACGCGCAGGATCTGTCTCCAGTCAGCGTTGGTGCGACGCCCCTATGTGTGCGAATGAGGTGGTCGTCAGGCTGGACCGTGGCTGCGTTCAGCGTATCTGGCGGGAATCACCGGGACAGCTGCTGGCAGGCACCCTGGGTGTGGGGAAGCCACGGGGAATCCGTCCCACCCTCAGCTACCCAGAGCAGGGCTCCCCGTCTGTCTGGAGGGCCGTGCCCTAGAGTGCTGCCTGGCTCGGGGCTTCCTGGTGCCCTTCTGTCCACGGGCAGCCAGGCTGCTCGGTTGGTGTGGGTGGCTCACAGCAGCCGGGCTGGGCAGGGTGGGAGCAGCTAGGCCAGGCTGGGGCTCGGGCTGACTGAAGGTTTCCCTCTTGCTCTTCTTTTCAGGTATCTGCTACACGATATTTGACCTGGGCTTCCGTTTCGATGTGGCCTGGTAAGATGGCTCTCAAGTGCCGACCCTGCGGCTGGGCGCCCTGCCCGGGGCTAGGCGGGTGCTTAGACGGGCAGGTTCCAGCAAGCAGGGCTTCCCACTGAGGGCGATAGCTGGCAGAGGTGACCAGAAAGCAGCACCTGCTCTGTCACGTTGGCCAGCAGTCGTCCTCGGCCCGGGCAGTGTAAGGGCCAGGGGCGTGCAGGGAGAACGCGCGGCTGCGCGGAGAGACTGTACCTCCGACGACAGAGACCCAGAACCTTCGTCACTCCCCTGGCGTAAGAGCCGCTCCTCTCTGTCTCCCATGGCTCGGAGCCCGCTCGGTGCTGGCGTGGACTGAGGGCATGCTACACCCGGCTGGCCCAGCGCCCTGCTCACTCCCGCTGTGCACTGTCCCGTTCCACTGCTGGATCCTGCCACAGGGCGCCGGGCTGCAGCTCTGCTCCCCTCCCCATTGCAACCAGGAAAGCCTGCACCCTGCCCTCAGCGTCCAGTCGCGCTCTGCTGCCCCTGCCCTGCCCCTTCCTGTGCTCTCTGCCAGCTGCCTGTGGCGCTGATTGCCCTGGGCTGGGCTGGCTGATTCCCCCAGCAGCCGGCCCGACGCCTTCCTCCTCCAAGGGCAATGGGGACAGGGCTTTCAAGTGTTCTCCTGCCTGGCCTGGGCTGCACCGCAGGAGGAGTCTGCCCGGCCACGTCAGGGCTCTGGGGGGTGACGGCTGGGGACGAGGCGTGGCTGGGTCTGCTTGGGGGGCAGCGTCGGGCTGGTCTCTTACCGAGCTCATGGCTCTGCCACGTGCTGGGGAAGGACAGGTGGGCCCTGTGCTGGAGCCCCCAGGAGCTGTGTGCGCACGTGAGGGTGGCCATTGCACTGGGGGGGCCGCACAGCAGGCAGCCGTCTCGCCTGCTGCCCTCCTCCCGTGGAAGGGAGGCGCTGGCCGTCGGCCCCTGGAGTGCTGGGGCGGGCAGGGCCGGCCCTGACTCTGCACTAACGAGGTTCCCTTCTGCCTCTAGGTTCTTAACGGAAACCTCCCCCTTCATGTGGTCCAACCTGGGCATCGGCCTGGCCATCTCGCTGTCCGTGGTGGGCGCAGCCTGGTGAGTTGGGTCCCATTGTCCGGGACTGCTGGTCCCGTGGGGTTTGCTGAGGCTCCTGCTGGGGGGCCGAGGAGACGTGCCCCGGGGGGGGGGGGGGGTGCTGCCATGCCTGAGTCAGCCCCTCGGCTGCTGCCTGGCTCCGACATCTCAGCAGGGCACCTTGGGTCTGGGGCAGCTCCTGCTGGCGGCTCTGGAGAGCTGCCGGGGATGCTGGTGGCCTGGGAGATGCCAGGCTGGTCTCCGTGGGTTCTGTGCCAGCGAGTCCCGGTCGGGCTGGCAGCTGCCCTGTGTCCCTGGGTGCCGTTGGTTTTCCCAGCCCGTCTCACCGTGCACGCCTGGGGTGTGAGCGGGACGGGCTGGGCATTCAGCTCCCGCTGAGCTTGCTGCGAGCTCTCTCCGGTCGGCGCTCGGCTCTGCCCCAGGGAGGCACCATCTCCTCGTTGGCAGGCGCTAGCTCTCCGTCCAGGCAGGCGCCCGCCCAGGGCTCCCTCACTGACTGCCCTGTCTCTCGCAGGGGGATCTACATCACTGGCTCCAGCATCATCGGCGGGGGAGTGAAGGCCCCCAGGATTAAAACAAAGAACCTGGTCAGGTAAGGACAGCTGGTCCCCGGTGTGGTGCTCCGGGACAGAACCTGGCACCTGGGGGAACAGCGCCCCAGGGAGCTAGTCAGCAGTTCACCGGAGCTGCTCACGCTTCCCCAGCACTCTGGCCCCTCTGGGCTGTGCGGTACAGTGCTGAGCCCCTTGGTCTGGGGCTGGGATCCCAGCCCTGCTAGGGGTCAGGCCGGGTCACTGTGCAGTTTCTGGGTCCTGTCCCCACAGCCCGCCCCCTTCTCCGGCCCACGCGCTCCGGTGTGCGGGGGCACCAGCCAGTCCAGACCTGAAGGAAACAGCTTCTGCCTGGGCCTCTGGGCTCCTCGCCCTCAGACTGGAAATGTGAAACATCCTGAAGCACCAGTGCATGCTGGGAAAGGCAGTGCTTCCTGTCCCTGGCTGGCTGCAGGCCCCCATGGGCTATGGGGCAGTGCAGTGGCCTGCATGGGGGTGTGGGGGCTGAGTTAGCTGTGTGGGGTATGAGGCCTCCCACCCTTGTGTCTGCCTGTTGGATGCTTCCCATCTGTGCTGGGGTGGCGAAGGGCCAGCGCCGCCCCCCGCTGGAGTGTCTCCGCAGCGGGGCCGGGGGGCTTAGCAGGGGGAGATGCACTGGGTGGTGTCAGCATGGGGGCCCCGCAGGGAGACGCAGTTGGGGCGGGCAGAGGCTGGGCTGTGGGTCTCTGGCTCCAGTTGCTAACGCTGCCCCTCATCCACAGCATCATCTTCTGTGAGGCCGTGGCCATCTACGGGATCATCATGGCGATCGTGATCAGCAACATGGCTGAGGTGCCTGCTGCCGGGGAGGGAGGGGGCACCCCCCAGGCAGCCCCTGGAGCTCTGCACTGTCTCCCCTGACACGTCCGTACGGGGGAGAGGGACATAGCCAAGGCTCAGGGTCTCTTCACTGCTTCCCTCAAATATCGCTGGGCAGAGCAGCAAACCCAGCGCAGGCGCCTGGCGGGGGGATCCTCTTCCACATGGGGTGTCCCTGGCTCCCCTGGCCTGCGGTCCTGGCTCTAAGTGGCCTGTACCAGCTGAGGCAGTGCCAGGAGCCCAGGGAGCTGGTGGTAGTGGGCAGAGCCTGGCGCCCCACAGGGCTGGGTGCTGGGTGCGCACGGGGCGTTCCTTGGCTGGGATAACGGGTGCGTGGGTTCAGGCTCGGAAGCCACTGTGGCATGGAGGAGGGGAGATGGCAGGGCTCTGGTAAAACCCTGTTAGTCCAGCCTCACCCGGGCAAGGGGCGGCGCCTGAGCTCACAGCCGGAGCAGGCCTGGCCCTCTCGGGGAGGATTATGGCTCCATTGCCCAGAGCAGGGCAGGACTTGCCCCGGGTCCCACTGTGACTTGAATCAGATGTGGCTGAGTCCCAGCCCATCTCCGAGGCAGAGCCGTTTCTCCCTAGCCCGCCCGTCACGCTGGGGAGCCGGGTGCGTTTGTCCGATGCGCCCCAGGGGGTGCGGCTTGGGCAGGGCAGCGCGGCAGCAGGGTTCCAACCTGCGGGCGACACCTTAACGGGCGTGTCTTGCCGCCATATGCCCGCTCAGACAGACACAGATGCTGGTTCTGTGCGGGGCAATCTCCCTCTGTCCCGGTGTGGGGCGTGGAGGGGCCTATGGAGCAGGGAGCTAAGGCCCAGGACTGGGACTCTGGGGGTCTGGGTCCCAGCTCTGGGCAGCCTATGCCCGTCCCCATGGCAGGGAGCTCTGGCCAGGCTGCTGTACCCCTGACGCTAACCCTGTGCCATGTGTCGTCTTCCAGCCTTTCAGCGGCACCACCCCAGAGACCATCGGCGCCAAGAACTACCACGCAGGTAAGTGGCGCCCTGCCCCGTGTCGAGGGGCCTGTGGGGCCAGCGGGCTCTGCCCTGTGTGGAGGGAGGCTCCTGCACCCTGGCCCCATGCCAGTGCCTGTTCTCGGTGCACGCTCCGGCGTACTCTTCCCCTAAGGTGTGCACAGTGGTCCTTGTTTGCTCCCCCAGTCTCTGGGGGTATCTTCCTAGGTAGCTGGGGTCTGGGTTCACTACCTCTCCTTCCCTTGCCCCAAACGCACAGTGCCACCTGCTCTTGGTGCGCGGCGGCGATTTGAGCTCACCCTGGCACTGCAGGCGCAGATCTGTGGCCGGCTGAGCGCACAGGGCCCTGCCTGGCAAAGGCACTTCAGGGAAATGGCTGGAATTTGGCAGCCTTGGTTTGTCCTCTTCATATTCTGCTCTGTCCCCTTAACTCTGCCCCTGGCAGCTCCTAAGAGTTTCCCAGCCTGGGCCAGCGCCCGGAGTGCCCCAGCGGGCTCTCACAGGAGGAGGCCAAGCCCCTGTGCAAGCCAGGCCTTGGCCTGGGGCCTGCTGCATCTCACCACTCCCTGCCCCATCCCTTCCAGGTTTCTCCATGTTTGGGGCTGGTCTGACCGTGGGCCTCTCCAACCTGTTCTGCGGGGTGTGCGTGGGCATTGTGGGCAGCGGGGCTGCGCTGGCCGACGCCCAGAACGCCAGCCTCTTCGTCAAGATCCTGATCGTGGAGATCTTCGGCAGCGCCATCGGGCTCTTCGGGGTCATAGTCGCCATCCTGCAGGTACCGGCTCCTGCCCCGCTGGGCCCAGCGTGCTCCTGGGGCCCCCAGCCCCACATCAGCCCCAGGCGTGGGCTGCCCAGCTCATCAGACAGGCCTAGGTGTCTGCAGGGCCTCAGTGCCCCAAGGGGGGTGATGGGAGGGTGCAGCCACTGCTCTCTGGTGAACAGAGAAGCCCACCCAGGGGACACGGGCGGGGGAATGATGCAGCGGCTCCATGTGATGGCACCATCTGGCCTGGCTGCTGGAACCCATCTTGGCAGTGCCAGCCCCCCGCGCCCCCCAGCAACCACAGGGAATCGTTTGACTGGGCACTGGAATCGGAGCGGTTTGTGCCCAGGGCTGATCGGGGAGGAGCGGCCTGTGGGTCCTGCAGCTTCAGTCAGGCTGCCTGATCAGGGCAGTTGGGGGGGCACTTGGCAGGGTGTGCTCCTGGGAGGGGCTCGGGGCGTGCTCTGACCTGTCTCCTTTCTCTCTGCAGACATCTAAAGTAAAAATGGGGGACTGAGCCCCTGCCCGTTCCAGCCTGGCCCCCTGCGGGCGCGACTGTACATATTTATTTAATGTTTCTATTTCCTGATCGGGGGCGTCGCTTCGCCGCGTCAGGAGCGGGAGCCCAGGTGTATAGAACCGTCCCTGCTGATCCGCCGCCCGCTGGCCCCATGGAAGAAATAATTATCTGTGTGTGAATTCGGCTCCCTCCTGTCGGCCCAGCCAGCCGGGGGGGGGTTGCGGGGTTGCTGCCTGAGTGTTCCCGGTGTGTGTACAAATCAATTGACCAGTGTAAGTCAGTGTCACGTGAAATAAACATGGTTCCTGTCCCTGCCGGCTGCATTCTGTCTGTGCCATGCGCTCCCATGCTGTGCTCAGGGCATGCCGGGGCACTGCCTGGCCACGGGGACATGGCATTGAGCATGGCACTGGTGTTCCCAGTGCTCTCTTCCAGCAGTGGCCGGGCTAGCCCAGATCTAGCTCAGAACTGGCTGGATGCTGCTGCCAGCCATGGTGCTGCCCTCTGCTAATGCCAGGGGGAGACACAAGGAGAAAATTCTTAAGCTGCCATGGACCTGTGCCCAGTGTGCCAGTGGGTTAGTGGAAGGGGGGCCTGCCTCAGATCACTGCTGCAGCTGAGGGAGACCCTGAGGTCAGGCTGGCAGAGAGCTGAGGGTTGGGAGTGAGAGGCACAGTGGACATGGGGGAGGCGGGGAAGGAGGTAATGTCATCAGAACGGCCACACTGGGTCAGACCAATGGTCCATCTAGCCCAGAATCCTGTCTGCCGACAGTGGCCAATGCCAGGTGCTTAGAGTCCTGTCCATAGGCACGCCCCTGCATGCATTGCTGAGTCATAAGGTGTATCTGCCTTTTCTCAATGGGTCAGTTGTACAGCTGATGGTCCTTAATGGCCATCAAGCAGGCTAGGCAGAGCTGACACCAGCTTGTCTGGGGTGTCACCCAGAAGCCTAGCACAAGTTTTGAAATACAGGCCTGAAATAGGCAGCCACAAGTAAACCTAGACCAGCCCTGGCTGGGGTTTATCCAACCTGTTCTTAAACACCTCCAGTGATGGGGCTTCCGCACCTGCCCTTGGATGCCTGTCCCAGAGTGGAACTCCCCTGGGAGTTAGCCAGCTTGTTTCTAATAGCTAACCTCGAGCTCCCTGGCCGTAGATTAAACCCATCATGCTCCCAGCCTTGAATTCTTGTCTGGTTCCATCCCACTACCAGTCTTGCCCCAACTTTGTCTTGGACTGACAGGCTAACTGGGTTATAGCTTCCTGGGTCACCCCGTTCCCCCCTTTCAGTCGTGGTGCAATGTTAGCTTTTCCTCAATCTTCCGCTGGAGCATGTTCAAAATGACACAAGGGATTTAGAGAGCTCCTCGGCCAAGTCTTTTAACACGTTTGGGTGCAAGTTATCCAGGACTGCGGGTTCCAAAGGTTTCACTTTAATATTTGCTGTCTAGCATTCGCCCTAGTTCCTGAGGGACTAGAGAGTGTTTCATTATCACACTCAGATATGGACGTATCGTCCTGTCTCTTTCCAAATATAGAAGAGAAATATTTGTTGAGTACTTCTGTGATTGACAATTTTACTATTCTGCTCTAATACTGGCTGTGGCCCAGTGCTAGGATCTGGCTTGTTCCTCGCCTATTGAAAGGATTCCTGCTCGGTCCTTACCCCTCCAGGCCCTGTTCCTCGCTGATACCTTTAGCTTCCCGAACAACTGTCTGCATTTCCTAACTTCCAGTTTCTACTCATTGCTACCAACTTCTCATTTTTCCATTTTGGTTTGGGGGTGGGGAGGGGTGGAGAGCGGTTGGGTAGCAGCCGCCTTCACCTCCCCTCTTTTAACCCAAGAAGGCGCCTGTCATGATTGCAGAATTGGTTTCTGGGTGTTGAACGCTGCGTCCTTCAGCAGTTCCTCACCTTCACATGTTTTGTTGACATTTGTCCTCTCAGTCACCCACCATTGCTCACGATTGTTTTCAGCCTTGGGAAACTGGCCCTTTTAAAGCCCAAGTCTGGCTAGTACTAGTTGGGACACTCACATGCTCGCAAATGAGCTTAGTTCGTGGTCGCTAGCACCCAGGTGTGACGGGTTTGGTCACAGAGACCCCCTTGGGACTGTCACCTGATGTGCTGAAACTACCTCTGAGCCTGTTTTCCCTGCCAGCTTAGGACTCCAGAACCCTGCCTTGTTGAGCCAGACACGCAAGCCTGCTGCAACACAGACCCTGGGTCTGAACCACATCCCCCAAAGCTGCAGACTTTAACTGAAAACCACTCAGTAGGTTACCTATCTCCAGCACCCAGACACCCAGCTCCCAATGGGATCCAAACAAATCCGTTTTGCTCTGTATAAAGCTTATACAGGGTAAACTCATAAATTGTTTGCCCTCTATAACACTGATAGAGATATGCACAGCTGTTTGCTCCCCCAGGAATTAATTACTTGCTCTGGGTTAATAAGTAAAAAGTGATTTTATTAAGTATAAAAAGTAGGATTTAAGTGGTTTCAAGTAATAACAGACAGAACAAAGTAAGTCACCAAGCAAAATAAAACACGCAAGTCTAAGGCTAATATATTAAGAAACTGAATACAGGTAAATCTCACCCTCAGCGATGTTCCAATAAGCTGCTTTCACAGACTAGACTCCTTCCTAGTCTGGGCCCAATCCTTTCCCCTGGTACAGCCTTTGTTAGTTCCAGCTCTGGTGGTAACTAGGGGATTTCTCATGACTGGCAGCCCCCTTTGTTCTGTTCCATCCCCTTTCATGGCTTTGGCACAAGGCGGGAATCTTTTGTTTCTCTGGGTCCCCACCCCTCCTTCTACATGGAAAAGCACCAGGTTTAAGATGGATTCCAGTACCAGGTGACATGGTCACATGCCACTGTAACACCTCATTCTTCATTACTCACGGGTTGGCCCCCAGGTCCGCAAGAAGGCTTGCAGGTAAATAAACCATCTACAACCAATTGTCCTAGTCAATGGGAGCCATCAAGATTCTAAACCACAGTTAATGGCTCACACTTTGCATAATTACAATAGGACCCCAGACTTATAGTTCATATTCCTAGTTTCAGATACAAGAGTGATACATACATACAAATAGGATGAACACACTCAGTCAATTATAAGCTTTGTAATGATACCTTACAAGAGACCTTTTGCGCAAAGCATATTCCAGTTACATTATTTTCACACTCATAAGCATATTTCCATACACATATGGAGTGCAACATCACACCAGGCAACCATAATTTTTAGTGAGACAAGGTGGGTGTATTGGCCCAACCTCTGGGGGTGAGAGAGACTCCGTTGAGCTTACACAGACCTAGACAGCTTGGTCTAATGCCTGGGTCCCACCTGGCTATAGCAGCCCTGCATCCACCAGTTTTTAGGTCAGTGAAGAATTCAGCGTGATCAGAGTGTCCAATACAAACTTGGCTCTTGTTGGTTGCAATACTGTTTGTGTGGAAAGTTCTGTTTTAGACTGGCCCACTGAGCGCTGCAGCCTGTCCCACAACCTGAAATCCCCCCTGATCACACAGGTTTTCTTTCTACACATTGCGATGTTGGAGGAGCAGCTCCTCTTGTTCCCTGTCTGAGTGGGGGGCTCTAGCCAAGCCCTCCCGCGTTTTGGGATGTATGGGGACAGTGACCCAGGCATGCCCTGGATCCTGTCCTGCAGTAGCAGTAATGCCAGAGCAGGGGATGGTGTCTCCAAGGCTGAGGGCCACCCGCCTGGCCATGACACCCCCGGCCCCCATTCCTAAATGGGGCGGAGCCAGAGTTTAACATTGCAGCCGGGTGACTCCCCCCACCGGGGCTCAGGGAAACCTGCCCATGTGTAGCACATTGGGTGTCATACACCAGTGTTTCTAATTCCTCTTTCCTATTACCCAGGAGTCTGATGTTGGAGCCCAGGCCCCCACCCACCAGGGCACGGCCCTCTGCCCCACAGCCCACTTGCTGGTGCACAGGCCCCCACCCTGCCCCACTCCCACCACTGGTGCCATCCCACCTGCCCCCTGGGGCCTGCACCCACCCACTGGTGCCCCCTGCAAGAGCTTTGCGACCAGGGGCTGCTAACAGGCAGTTTCACAAGGGAGTTGGGAAGGGGAGTTGGGAAGGGGGCAGTGCCCCCTTGCTGTTCTTTAAAACCTGCAAACTAAACTACATTCAAAACTTCTTGATTTAAACAAAACCCCTCCATAACTTAGGTAGCTGTAGGAGAGACTGCAGGCAGAGCGTCCGAGTCTCAATGCGTGGATGAGAGGATGGTGTAGAGAGAAGGGGTTTAGGTTCATTAGGAAGTGGGGAAACTTTTGGGATGGGGGGAGCCTATACAGGAGAGATGGGCTCCACCTAAACCAAAGTGGAACCAGACTGCTGGCACTAAACGTTAAAAAGGTTGTAGAGCAGTTTTTAAACTAGGAGATGGGGGAAAGCCGACTGCTGCAGAGGAGCACGTGGATCGGACAGAGACTTCTCTTAGGGGAGAGTCTAATGATAGAGAATCTCCAGGTTATAGTCAGGAGCAGAGGATGGAGGAGGATAATGTAAGGGCCAGATCAGATGAGAAACATTCACATAAAAAAGAATCGGACACATCAGAAAAGGGCAGACAAATAAACAGTGACAAGTTTTTAAAGTGCTTGTACACAAATGCTAGAAGTCTAAATAATAAGATGGGTGAACTAGAGTGTCTCGTGATAAAGGAGGATATTGATATAATAGGCATCACAGAAACCTGGTGGACTGAGAGCAATCAATGGGACACAATCATTCCGGGGTACAAAATATATCGGAAGGACAGAACAGGTCACGCACGGGGGGGAGTGGCACTATATATGAAAGAAAATGTAGAATCAAATGAAATAAAAATCTTAAGTGAATCCACATATTCCATAGAATCTCTATGGATAGAAATTTTGTGCTCTAATAAGAATATAACATTAGGGATCTCTTATAGACCACCTGACCAGGACAGTGATAGTGATGATGAAATGCTAAGGGAAATTAGAGAGGCTATCAAAATTAAGAACTCAATAATAGTGGGGGATTTCAATTATCCCCATATTGACTGGGAACATGTCACCCCAGGACAAAATGCAGAGATGAAATTTCTCGATACTTTAAATGACTGCTTCATGGAGCAGCTGGGACGGGAACCCACAAGGGGAGAGGCAACTCTAGATTTAGTCCTGAGTGGAGCGCAGGAGCCGGTCCAAGAGGTAACCATAACAGGACCGCTTGGAAATAGTGACCATAATACAATAGCATTCAACATCCCTGTGGGGGGAAGAA